TTTTTTGGGTTTTAATAAAAAAATGAAACTTTAAAAACTAAAAATTATTGTTTTTCCGGGGGGGGTTTTTTTTTTTTTTTTTTTTTAGTTACTCGATATCTAAAAAAACAGTTTTTATTGTTAAAACTGTCACAGATGGCCCAGGTGGAGCCCCAAATTAAGGGTTAAACAAGCTTTACATGTCAGATCTTTTAAAAAAGGGATCAGCTGCTATAAAGAAGAGGTGCAAAAAAAAATAAAAATAAAATAAAATAAATAAATAAATAAATAAAGACAATTTTGGTTCTTCAATTGTTTTTTATTGTTCACTATAACCCAAAAGTGGTGATAATATCACTTCTTTTCTTTCTCCCCTATGATCTGTAAAACTACTGACTTAATAACTTTCAGCAGCAGTGATTTTATAGGTTATATGTGGAGGCATTACAATTTAGAAAAGCCTAATTTTAAAAAAATTGACATAAAACGAGAGATGTGTATGAGCTACTGGCTGCGGTGTGAGTGATCTACTCACTCTGAACCTCGATGACTTTCTCCATAGAGCGCACAGCGTTAGCATTTGGTTTCTGCTGTAGCACCTCGTAAGGAATGGGGTCCAACTGAAACAGACAGAAAATTAGATTAAAAACATTTCTGGCTTAATGTTTTCATTTCTCTACAAGCTCTACCAGACAACTCTGACACTATGTAATGTGCTTTTACTGCAATTTAACTTATGTATTCTGGAACAGATACATAAATTACATCTACAGCGAGCCTCATTCAACATCCAGGCATTTTATTTGTTGGTATTATAGCTGCAGCTTGATAAATACTCTGTGAATGAGTTCCGCAGGTGTTCAGAGAGTTTTCTCCAAAACCCCATTTGACCCGATGCAGTCCCAACGCGGTTTACAGGATCATTTTTGAAATGCTGACCACAACCCACTGTTAAGTCAATCCAAGAGGTTGGGAACAATCTCAAGCTGCTGACACAATAAAAAAAAAATCCCGTCTGCAGATGCACGCCTCTTCCCTCTCCTCGACAGCTTTGCTACTCTTTGACATAAACTACACTGTGTGCTTTGTTCTGAGTCCCACTCGAAGGAAGCACATGGGTATACGCAGATGCACATACTTGGAAACGGCCAGTTCATACATACACCTCAGCGAGAACGGCTAAATCTATAAAAAAAAAGAAAAAAAACATCCCTCCAAGCCACAATTCAGAGCAAACAGAGCTATTCCCTCAGGTGCCTTCCTAACCCGGAATGATTTAATTTCCCCTTTGGCCGACGATTCGTTCGACACTTTCACATCCCGTTTCGGCACACAGCCTCATTTAGCTCCACATTCCTCCTCAGACGGCACACATCCCTGTTCTGCTTTGTCATAACCCCAGAGGAACAGCACGCCAACATGGAAACATGGAAACAGAGACATGCAGAGTTAGAAAGAAGGGGAAGGAAAAAAGGTTTGGCTTGACGTTTGGAGAGCACGATGCCAGAAAGAAAGAGGGGATGGTCGGTCTGGCGAGGCCAAGACTAAGAGTTTTATTTTAATTAAAGTAAATAGAGTATGGGAGGGGTCCACTGGGCCGAGGGAGCAAGGCACTTCGGGGAGAGATGGATACTTTAATCCTGCTGTGGCACGACAGGCTACATCATGCACTTGAGGAGTATGCACGCATTCAGCTCGTGCACAGCTCTTTTAAGTAACTTGTTACACGATGGGCTCTTTTTCAAATAACAGGGTCCCATTAATGCTGCAACTTGAATATACCTTTTATTGCCATAAGAATCAGGGCGCCTCTTGAAGCGTCCGAAGAGCTGAGTCAGACTCTCTGGTCCAGTACTTAATTAGTTCAGATCTCACCTAAGAACAGGAACTTATTGTGTTAACAGGTATCGTCTCCTCAGAACAGGAAGAAGTCACATGTGGAGTACCACAAGGTTCTATCATGGGACTCCTCCTATATCATATCTACATGCTCCTTTTAGCTCATATTATAACAAGAAATATGATGATTTATCATAAATATGCAGATGATACACAGCTCTACCTTATATTGTCACCAGTTGACTCAGAACCCATCCAAGCACTGAAGAAATGCATTGGTGCCACAACTTTCCATAACTTTCTCCAGCTGAACAGAAACAAAACTGAAGTTGTTATATTTGGACCTGAACATAGAAACTTCTGGTCCAAAGATAATAACTGAGTCAGCACTAGAAACTAGTGATCAGGTCTGTAATCTGGGTGTGGTGATGAAATTCGACACCCAGAGACACATAAAGACAATTTACAAAGTCGGCCTTCTGTCACCTGAAGAACATTTCCAGAATTAAAAGATTAATGTCTCAGTACGATCTAGAGAAACTCATCCATGCATTTATTTTTAGTGTCTTCACAGGTCTCGACTATAAACTCCACTATCAAAATCATTGAATTCATGTATTCCAGTCACACAGATCACAGGTGTAGAAATCCAAGCACCTGGGAATGCAAACTGTTTCTACAAACATAATATGTGAAATAATGGGTTTTTCTCAGATGTTTACATTATGATATTTGGTGCCTTAAGAAAAATAAATAAATTCTAAGGCTGTTCACAGAACGGTAGGAAAAACCCATGAATTAGAAACTGACACAAATGAAATGGACGCTGTATGAAAGTGGCACAACGTGACTGTGGCTAAGTGAGAGAAAGCAGGACTGATTGATCTTTAGCATCCTAATGTTTCCACATTGGGGGATTCAGATCATCAATCTTTCAGTCAAAGTGCACTTCTCCAAAGGTTCAGCCCATGCTGCTCCAGCTTTCCTCGGCTCCCTGTCAAAGCGAGGTCAGGGGTTCTCCGGGGTTTGCTGGAGTTCAGCTCAGAGCAGAGCTGGACGGGGGCAACTTGTCAGTTTGATCGACAGCCGGGCCTCACACTTGTAAACTTTAATGACTCTCGTCCTGGTACCCCAGGGGCCCAAACTCAGCAGGTAGGGTAAAGACGCACATGAATGAGCAAAGGACACATGAAGGAATATTGTAAACAAGCCTACATTTGTTCCTGACGTCATCCGTAGCAGGAACACATTTCGCTGCTTTTACCTGCACAGTGAATGTGTCGCGGTCTTAAAAAGTCAGACAGACATGTTGGATTTAACCGATCTCTGAGGGTATCTACGTCCCGGCCAACAAAACCAAGACAAGCCATGAGCTGAGTGAGAGGAATGTGGCCCGGTAAAAACATTCCTAAGGGAGGCTCAAAGCAAAACAGTGGAAAGATGAGGAATTCTACTTGTTCAGCAAAATAAAAAAGTGCACAAGGCATCCATTGTTTACCGCTTTGTCTGTGTGTACATGCTAGCAGCTGCTAAAATCGTCTGATTATGTTATGCTAACTGAACAAGGTAATCACATGCATTGTGCAAAGCAGGCGACCTTTTCAGATAAGTTTCTTCTTGGATTTTGTTTTTCTTTTGGGGGGAGGAACAGTCGGGCCTACAGGGCGACAAGTGAAGCTGAGCAATTTTACTGTAACTGAAGAGCAAACACGCTTAATGACCTCACGGACGGCTGGCAGCAATTAGCATATTAGCTAGTTGTTTATCAAATAATTGCTAACAACCATGGTTTGGAGTTGGCCGACATCTGTACTGGAGCAATCATCAATTAGTACAGAGGTCAGAGTTCACTGGCGTAGATGGAAATGCATCATTCATGAGTTATTTAAAGGAAAAAAGTATTGGTGATTAAACATTAGAGAAGAGGAAAAAGGGGTCTGTAGCGGACATTTTTTTTTTTTTTTCATTTTATCAAACTGGAATAAGTGGTTTTAAACAACACAGAGGATATTGTTATCAAAGCATTGCTATACTGCTCACAAACAAGCTACAAAACACTACAAGTCAACACAGAAAGGGAAAAATGAACATGTCTGAGGACACATCTCCTGCTAAATTTGCCACAAAATCAAAGTAAAGCTAACCATTAGTTAGATGTTTAAAAATAAAGTCAAAAAAGACACAAAATATACGATTTAACAGGAAATTTTAACAATGTCGAGAGATGTTGGTGGTTCATTCAGATTGAAGGGGAGTGGGAGAGAGCAAGCTATTAGCAGATAACAAGAAGGCTAAATATGTTACAAATATATTTATAATATATATCATAATAACATATATAATATATATATTATGATTTTTGTATCTTCCATCACATCAATTTAAATTAAAACTGCAAAAATCCCATAAAGCGTGTAACATGGCACCACACCTGCCTTCTTGTAAAGCGAAGAATAGGACATTCAGCCCTCATGTTTGGATCAGAGGTTTTTATTACGGCAATGTTGTGGGTCGAGGAGCTTCCCAGACAATACAGAACCTCAGATGGTTTGATGCAGCACAAACAAAAGCACAGCTGACCAGTTAACCCAGCTGTGGTTTAATGCCTGGACCCACTCGGCATTACCACAAACAGACCCACATTTAGCCAAGAACTAAAGTTTATTCTGGAGGAAAAACTCGCTTACTGGATAAGCTTGAAAAAACTGTTGTCCATTGGATGGCCAGGCAGGCTGTAGTCACTCACTGTTTTTGTTTAAATTTAACTTTGGAGTTGCTATTTGAGGCTAAAACACAGCTTTAGCTGGTGAATCAAAACTAAAATAAAAAGAGTGGGTTTTTATTCTTGTCTTCTCACTCGGCTCTACACCAACATTTCCCAGCAACATTCCAAAGTCATTACAGGGACCTTACTGGGGAGCATAAAAATGCTTTCTTCCTGGTGTTTCGATCTGATTTTAAGTAGGTTTTTTTTTTTTTTTTTTTTTTTTTTTTTTTTTTTTTTTTTTCTTCCCCCCTACACAAAAAAAAAACAAAAAAAAAAAAAAATCTCTTTTTTTTTAAA